ATATCACTGACAGTAATGGTTTCACAAATTTGTTTATATTAATCAAATTCACAAGCAACCTTCACATCATCGCAAAGTTCTGCAAAATTTGCTTCATCTCTATATCAAGGCAGAACTGAAAATTTCTCATGATGTAACAGTCTGAGGCATAAAAACCAAACAGTTTCTTAATTTCAACAAAAAGACAATAGTATTAAAAGTATATAACACAAAATTGCATTCACATTAATTACTGTACATCAATAGCGTGAAAAGATGCTTCAAAGAGAAAAATAAATTATTTCACAAAATTGCTCTCGAAGTTGATCGTACTGAAACATAATCATTGTGTCAAAGCCGTTGTAAGGGGCTTAGTCGCACAGTAACTGTGGATATGCCTGGCAAAACAAATAATAGACATGTGGTTGCCGACTAGAGAAGATCGCAAACCACGCATTCAAAACAAAATTATGCATTTCATTTATCCTAAAAGTGTTTACGAGAGAAGTCACACGCAAGAAAATGAAACGGGAAGCTATCCACGGTTTTTAGACATAGATTAATTTTTAATAGGTTTAATCTTATTCCATTCAACTTATTGCCGCCTTTTCACTCTTTCTTTGTGACTTAAGGTACAGTGTCCTCTTGTTCAAAGCTTTTAAATTGGTCACGTCGGTGGGGTAACTTAGATCGCGTGCAAAAGCTTTGCAAAAGGGTGATTTATTCTCTGCACGAATACAATGAAGTAGGGACACTTCCAAGTTCAGAGCGTGTTTTTTTTTAAAGATTCATTGTACTGAAAGAGCGACTTCGTAAAATGTTTAATACCCTAGTAAAAGCTGTTATGATATTGCTTGGTAAACAAATACTTTCAAAGCTCAGAGAAGAAATGTCAAGCGTGCCTTCATTGTGAGTCACAAGAAGGTTGTCACTCAGGGTAACTCCAAAAGAAAGCGTTTATTGAGCAAAATTTCAAAAGAAGCCATTCTGCAAGTAAAAGCTATCATGAGGGCATCTGCTCTATCCGTTTAATGTCTAGGATCAAATTCAAATGCAAAAGGAAACTAATCGGTCAGACCAGCTGAAAAGGAAAATGTCATTGTTGCTTTTTGTTATGGTAGTAGACACGTTGGCTTTCAGTCACACAACCAAAGCGTAAATTATGGATCATTTTCATGCAAAATCATCCACAAAAGAACACAATACGAAAACTGAAACACTAAAATGTCCTTCTCACCAGATGAACTCCTTGCAGTGGCTACAAAAAGTCGGCTGTCTGAGGAAGGTTGCCATGAATTTGTGGCCGCTTATTTGATGCACCCTTCTACGTACAGCCCCTCTTCGGCCTTTGATGCCGCCTTCCCTTTCCTTGAACACTTTCCTCTCTCTGTCTGTTGACAATAACAACAAAACACGATTCCTATTTGACTGCACTTTGCCTGAAACATGAATTACTTAAATACACGGCTATTAGCGACCCTGAATCACCACTTTGTCCCTCTGTAACACACAGTCTGCATGACGAATAAGAAGTCGCTCTAAATCGAAGCAACATCTTGCGGCGATCGAAGCTCGCTCCGTGGCGTTTGAATTCCACACATAGACAGTGAAAACAAAACATTACCATGAAAGTTGTTTTTCAAATGAAAACAATAGCATAACGAAAAGGTATTCTGAGGAAAAAGTTTCATTCAGGAGACATCACAAACGGTTCGAAACTCGACATGAAAATTTACAACTTACCTTGCATGGCCGGTTTAAGTTCGATATAGAGATGAACTCTCCCTTCGGGCTCGAGTGGAATCTGGAGATGCATGATAAAATGGCATAAGAAATAGACAGCACTGTGACTAATTAAGTTCCTTTAGAGAAAGAGAAACTCAAACAAATCGTCCTAACCGTACCCAGATATCAGAGGTTCCCGATTTGATGATCTCTTCCAAAGGCACAGACGAATTCGCCAAAAACGGATCGGGCGGCATAATTGCGTTGTGAAATACAGTAATTCCTAATGTCTCTCCATTTTCTATCTCACTTTCAAACTCCTCGTTCCAAATTGGCGTCGAAGTTTTCGGTTTTGAAGACGTCTGCGCTATATGAACATCATCCACATGAACGGATACGTACGGATCGATAGATTTGACTCTTCTCTGAGCCAACATCGCCGGTTTTAAGTCTATTGCCTCCAGCACCGTGAGTTTGACGGAACCCGTAAACACCATGTTGCTGCCAAAAAGCTCCCTTCGTCAAAGAATGATACAGAAATACTTCTAAAATCTACGGGAAGTTCGGCATTCCCCACTTTGTTCGCGACGCCGAAACAACTAATATTCCACTCAGCTCCAGTAAATGATAACAATATTCTAATGAAATCACAGCGGAAGAGGACAAGAATTTCCCGTCATTCACAGTTCTCTCGTGAAGTTTCGGAAAATTACGAGAACGTTCGGGGAATCATCTCGACTATTTTCGGCATATTACGACCTTCTTCGGCAAGGGTGCGGCAATTTGAGATTCCGTTGTGAAGGAAATAAGTGTTTAAGAAATAAAACACAAAAGCGATGAAATGTTTAAATTTGATCTATTTGTTTATCATAATATTTATCCGAGTAAACAAGGTGTGAAGCTCTGAAAAACCCTAAAAGTATTCCAAATATTTTCCTTTCAGCAGAAAATTGGATTAAAAGGGATTCTAGGCAAATATTATTTATCACTTGAAAGAGATTGTTGTCAGAATTCCATTCCATTTAATAGAAGCAATCGTAAAATACATAAAGAGAGAGACGTTGAATCCGGCAATTACGCCAGCACAAAAAAATTCTTAAAGCACAACATGATTTTACTTTATCGGCAGATAAAAATACTAAGAGGACTGTTTCAGTACTAACTCTGTAACAGATCAAGATAGTTCCTTATAAAGCGTTACAAAGATTTGTAACACGCGACAAATTTGGAAATGTAAAAGTAGCAACGGTCAAGAGAATATGTTCATATTTTATTGACAAAAATTGTTCTGCCTTTAAAAGGGAAAAAAAATTTTTTCAACTGTTTATGCACCAACTGAGAATTAGCGTGGGATGTCCGTAAATGAAAAAAATCCATTGCCGCCCCTGCAGGATACAGGGCGGAGAGCAGCGACCGAAAAAGACAAAAGCGGAAATGGTTGCATTCACTTCTTCTCTGCTTATTTACTGAGTCTAAAATGCCATTATATTCTCGTTTATCTTAAAATTTTTACATCGATAAGACAGAGGCAGAAATAAATCTCAACAAGGCGTTGAAAATACGTTAAAACAAACAAAAACATCAGAAGATAGGAGTCTCCAGCCGGGGTTACTCCCATATTTTCTCTGAAGTGTGTACACCGCCCTACATGGTTTGATTTTCGAGGCCTTGAGACTTGAAAAGGATCAGTAATTTTACTCAACCATACTTTTTCGATCAAACGTCCGAGTTAGACTAAAATACAGCCTCGTCAAAACGCCGGAGCCTGGTGAAGGGTAATGCTAATTTTGAAATTAACGTCTGAGTGTTTAATCGAGGTTGTGATGTCTATTTGCGGTGGAGCTGACAAACAACCAAATTGTGAAAGATCCCAAGGGAGGATTGGGGTTCCGAATCCACTCTCTGCAATCAGACCAGTGGGTACTTTTACTAAAGTCGAACCTTTATGAACGGCACCGAAATCAGTGCGAGTTGTATTTTTAGGTGAGCTTTTGTACATGAGTGATTAATTATGGCATAATATGGCAGTTTTTTTTGGTTATTTTTATAACATGCCTATTCTGTGGGTCCTATATTTAGCGGTCAACCTGCAATAAGTGGTCACCGCGCCATTCCCAGTGGGTGATCGCTTAACACAGGTTCCACTGTACTTTCAAGGGAAATTATTTCAACTGAAGGATCGAACGTCGCCACTCAACTTGATGTCTTTAAAATTTACTTATTTTAAAATATTTTATAGATTATTCAGGCTCTGATGTGAAAAGAAAATTTCGTGTTTCCTGAATCAAATTTTGGTCCCCTCCCCCTCCCCCTACTCCCCACGCTTACTAAAATTCCCAGATCAGCCCCTGCTACTCTTCACTGAATATATGAGAATGCTTCGACATAATTTTGCTTTAATTTGGAAAATGTATACATGAAAAACGTAGATAAAGGAAACGAATGATCCCTACGGAAGATCCATAGAGAGTTTGTGCGGCAAGTCGAAGGGAAAATCGTACCGTCACGACCAACCTCAGTTAGTCGCGTGGACGGATAAGAAAATCAAATTGAAAAAAAATGACAAAGAGATTCACTCCGTTAATAAACATAAAGCCCTGCATCACGATTCAAGTCAGCCTCAACTAAACGCCGGGTTTCTCAGGGCCAGATGAATAGGGTGTGAACAGAGCGGCCGGTTATACAAGTATGGTAATAGCAATCATGTTTTTAATCTTATTTTAAAGCTTCTTGCACAGCATACAAGACGAGGCGTGAAGTGAAGTTTATATGCCACTATTAAGACGATCAGCAACCTTTAGCAGGGCAGCTATATGAACGAAAATGAGGGCGGGACACGCCCAAACACACTTCCCTAAAGTTCCTTCAAAGATTTTTCAAATTACATTAATATTCTTTTAATATTTATCGGTAAAATGAGAGATCAAACTAATCAACACAAAGTGCTGAACATCAACGACAACAAAACAGAACAAACAACCCAATCAAATCACTTCCTTATGTTCCCAAGCTCTACAAACTCCTTGCTTTTGCGGTAAATTTATCACGCTAGGTGTGGCACAATGAAGCGTCACCGAAGGAAAACAAAGCACTTTAAATGAAGAGACATTAGAGCAGTTATCCAGCGAAGTAAAACAAAAAAATAAATCAATGCAATCTGGAAGTGCAAAAAACTGGCAGGCTGAAATTAACCGGAAAAAAAATCAGAATAGAGTGAAAGTATTAACAACTTATTTTTGACTTCAGGGGCACTCTGAAATTACATAGACCGATAAGGAAAAAACCAGAAAGATGCATTCAAGGTGCAAATATATATATTTATTTTTTCGTTCTATATATTAAATTTCTTTTCAAACGACTTCCTCTGGCCTCCATTGAGGATTTCTAGAAAACTGTCTGGCGAATTATATAAAAATTTACAAAAATATATATATATCTATAAGGCCTACCCCGCCATAATGAAAAAGCTACGTTGTCCGTGAAATGTGATTCTTCTGCAGTGTGACTAATTATCATCAGAGTGAGAGATTTTAAGAGGAGACTTTTTACAGTAACCCTCCGAGAGGCCAAGAGCCACAAATGTTTTTGATGCAAAACATTACAATAAGTACTAAGTTCATTAAACCGGGGTCTTATAAAGAAAATGGCCACTACATGTCAAAGGCTGGTTGCATCTTCAAAACGCAGCAGTACATTCGATGGAACGAGCTATTTCCGGGTGGAATGGGTTCTAAATTTCAGTCTCCAAAGAACGTTTAGGACGTCAACATCTATTTGAGGGATGGAAGGGTAGGGAGGGAGGAGACAAGTGGTACTCGTTCCATCGAATGTGTCAAAAAGCCGAAGACTCCTTCGGCAAGATTTTATTATTTTAAGGCAAGCTTAAGATCATTTAAATAAGGAAGCCCCCAAAACTTTATACAAGCTATTGACAAAAAACCCGCCAGATTAATAAAAACGACTGTAAGGAGTTACAGAGCCAAGGAAAAGAAGCCAGGCTAGTATCGTATGTAGCTTGTTACAAGCCCGCAATCAGTGGAGGCGAATTAAAGAGCCGGCAAACTACAGACAGCGGTCGTTGTTGACAGGGAATCGGCTGGATTTTTTGTTTCCAGACCTCCGCCGTTTTTTGCGCACCTACGTTTTCGCTCGTTTCCACTGACCAAGAGCCTAACACAGCCTATATCGTATCAGAAAAATTTATATTCGCTAGATCTCTAAAGATTCTTTGCCACAACAGTTCAATAGCAAAGGAACGAACCGAGACTTTCCAAATACAATCGGATAAAACACCCAACACGTGGCAACCTCGGGAAAATCACGTGAAGAGAAGCACAAATAGCACGTGATATGCTAAGCAAGCACGTCCTTTGCTCCTGATGACCCCAACAAGAAGAACTAACCTTATAATAACCAACACCATGCGAAATAAGAGATAAAGCAGAGAGTTTTGAATTTGGCCATAGGCCCTTACTCCAACTCCTAACGAAGTTATGACATAACGTTGATAATTCTCACAAATTTGGCTATATATTATTTCCCTAAGTCTTTCGTAACCTGTGGTTTATAAATAACAGCCTTATTTATCTCTCCATATTGTCAGAAAATTTACACATTGGATTGGACCCTTGGCATAAAAGTCCTATTGAAACGTCAATTGAATGACGCAAGTTAAACTTCAGAGGCATGTGGCCGCGAGCTCAATCATCAGGCTGAAAGTGAATCACAAATGCACAACGAGGTTGTAAAAATGTCACTTATTTTATGCACTAGAGAATATCGCAAAGCGATTAGCATTTTTCTGAAATCACCATTCGCTGAAAGAAGTTAATTACAAGCCTGAGATGATTGTAAAATTTTAAGTAGATTCTTGCAAGTTATCAATGTTTAATATTGAGACTAACTTAAGCGGTAAATGATTCTTCTTTTGCAAAAAGTCTTATTGACTTAACTGAAGGCTTATTTCATTTGTTTAGGTAGCTCTTTGTCGTGATCACCAGGGCTCTCATAAGGCTAGCAATAGAGGCTGTCTGGTTAGTTCTATGATTAGTTTTATGGATAGGAAAAAATAGCCCCTCAGACAGGGCCCTTAAGCGCAGCACAAGAAACGCTTCTCGTGTTGTTATACTAAAATACCTCTTCATTACTAAATTTTTTTTCCTGTATTGGATCAAGTTTACTCGACATCGAGAGAAGTTGGTAGGCCGCTTTCTCATCTCCAGGATACTGAAGTCTTTTTATATGTAACAACTCGTCAACTTATTCTTCGTAGTTCTTCTCATCTCATTTGTAGACTTTTTTTTCCTTCAAACCAGATGAATTCAAGAAGATCATTCAAGTCATCACGTGACCCGATGGCTGCTGTCCACGTGAGTGTTCTTCTGGAGGCTGACGTCACGTGATTTGAGCATGTCATGCTCTGTTGGCCCACTGAGCCTAAAATTTGTCATAATATGATAATTTAATGTAGATCTGAATCAATTAGGGGGCATTCAAAGCAAAATTTACCATCACTTTTTTCGATTAGGTACAGGCGATTATTCCAAATTTCCAATTTTTTGCCCGCTGACCACCTGAGGTTTCACTTGCGAGTTTTTGGATGACGGCCTATGGGGACATAGATTTCAACTACGAAAATGTACAGGCGCATGAATCCATTAGCACTAGGAGATTAAATCCGCCTCCTAAAGCGGTCATGCGATTTCCTGTTTACAGCAAAGATACCAATTAAAGACTCAATTACAGACATAAATTTAAAAAGACATCAATTGAATTCAACCGATGTGTTGTGTTTAATCAACTTCCGACACAGAGAGATCAAAGCCGCTCCTTTTTCAAGTTATTTTGATATTCAACTATGAAAAAAAAAATTGAATTTACTTTCACTGATGCAAAAAAAGAAAAAACCCTTTACTTAAAAGCATAATCGCTTCGCTGATACACCGGGTTACCATGCTGAGAGTGATTTTCTAAAATGTAAAGAAAAAATGGTAAGTCTTTCCACGCTGCTATCAGATCATGAGTTCAAATATTTTCATGTGACCCCGGAAGTTGTGTTTACTCTCTCGTGCAATCTTAGGAGATTATGTTAGTGTAATACTAGGATGGGGTTATTACGTATTTTATCTTCTTGAGACTTGCAAATAAGGATTAGTAGAACGAGTCTTAAGCATGCAGCAAGCGGTAGTTATCATGTAACATAAAGAATTATTTACCTGTTAAGTTAAATAATTTAAATTAGATTTCCAACTCCACTTCCTGCCAATATCCTTGATCAAAGCAACGATTAGGCAGATATAGTTCATCCAGAGTAGGACGTTCTCTCGTTGAAGATCGCGCCGTTGTTGTCGTTGTTGTTATATCTGATAATTCCAACGACCCCCTGAAAGAAATGGTCACAGCAAGCTTTATCAATGACCTCGTCTTGCTGAATTCGCATGAGCTGCGAGCAGAACGTGAATTGAAGAGTGGCATTTGTTGATGAGTTGTTACTTTAGTGTCTCGACAGTGTAAGACCAAGTCCATGCTTGAACAACGCGCGTCATCTAAAAAATTTGTCGCAAATTTTTCAAGTACTTCACTTCATCCGTTTTAATCTTCTTCACCTTAAGCCATTCTATTTCCTTCCTGGTTTATCATAACCTCCTTTGCATTTTTTTAGGCAAAGAAGTTTAATGCGGCACAAAAAACGACTCAAAGATGTAGCTCTTCAGTTCTTCGGTGGCCTCACAAGGCCTGGCAGAGCAGAAAGTTTTAGCCTTGTCATGCAGTCTTTTCCTCTCCCGTGATCTTCACCTTTCATAGACCTACAAATCCTACATCTTAAATTCTTTTCTCCTTTCTTGAAAATGAAAATTGGCCGCCAATCAGAGCTACAACTTTATTTTCAGGATCGTATCCACCTCTTGTTTGCAAGCTCCGCATTGCAATCGCGAATACTCGAGAGAAAAATTAATCCACGCGCGCGTAGACTTGCGTCACGAATGATGAGATGTTCCTTTCTAATCAGTCTAACACTTTCGCAAGGTGCGATTAATTATCAGCTTAGCTTTAGAGGCCTGCCTCTATTGCTTCTAGAAAAACCGTTACCACCACGATTAGCCAAAATAGAGGAGGGAAAATTAGTAGATCTATATGTTATTAGTAAACATGAATGGATTATTGAAGCTTCCAGAGCACGAACGAGATTGTGGTGTTCGAACAATAGAAAACTGGCACAAAACGACGATGAGTAATCACGGTTGAATCATGGTCACATGAAGGTTAAACAAGTAACCACTAAGATAAAAGGTAATCTGATGACTGTGTTTTTTATTTTTCTCTCTTCTAACATAGAAGTTGTTCAAAAAGTCGTCAAAAACTCTCACCTGGCAATTTCTTTAGATTTTGTTCCTTCTGGAAGCTTTTCCTCTGCAGTAATGTCTTGCGTTTTATTTGTATTCTTTTCGTTCCGTTTCGAGGCGACAAAGTTTCTAATTATTTCAGGGTTGCCCGATTTCGTGCCCGTACGATGTTTAGGATCAGGGTCCTCTATGTCTATATGTTTTGGATTAGCATGTGAATGCACTCCTTCTACTTGTCCGGTGGCGTTCTGCGACGCACGCCTGCGCTTTCTCCAGAATCTCCAGGCGACGCAACCGACAAATAAAGCGAGGAAAACAAGCACAGAGGCAACAATCACAATTATCATGGTAGTCCTGTCTATGACACCTGAAGAGGAAAGTTAAGAGAGAAAATTTACCACAGTTTTAAGCTTCTGTAGAAAATACTGAAACATGCCCCTTTCGTGTGTAAATACCCTCAATTTCAAGATAAGGCCTGCGGCAAAACCTTGGATATTGAAGGATATTCATTGCATGAAAATAGGATATAATTTTCAAATTAAAAAATTGCACTTGATTTCGTTTGAAATTGAGGCTTTGCATTTTTGACATTGGAAAATAGATCACACAACGAAAATCGGAAAGAAAATAAAAAGTATCATTAATGATTAAATGCCACCTCACCTTTTCCAGACTCGGAATTAAAGGGTTCCCCTGCAAAAACGAACACATTTTTCTTAATCTGTTGCCAAAATATAGAAAACGAACCAACTAATGCGATCCACCATAGCGAACCAATAAAAACCCATAGAAAAAACACGTGACCGAAGTCAAATTGCGGTTTGTAAGACCGCGTCAATAGCTTACCCATCATTCCGTTTCCTTGTGGCTCTGTCGTCGTCCCATTAAGGGATGTGTTTGTTGTACTTTCCCAAGTAGTCGTTGTGACAGATTCCGGTGTAGTTTCTTGTGCAGTTTGAAAAGTAGTTTCCCCAGTGTTTTTTGGAGTAGTTTTAACCTTTGTCTTGGGGCTTGTACTTGTTGTAGGCGCCGGAGTCGTTGTTATGGCCTGTTCGCACGCGCTTCCGGTAAATCCGGACGAACAAACGCACGAATAGCCTCGGATACCATTAACGCACGTGCCACCATTTTTGCACGCGCCTGGCACACAGTCTGGGTAGCACTGCTTCCCGCTGTATCCGTCTGGGCACGAACAATTGAAGTCTCCGATAAGATCCTAAAGAACGAAATGAAAATTGGCACATGATATAAGTAAAAGTTCCATTCTCATGCAAACAAAAAGTTATAATCTGCTTTAAGTAATGGTTGGCTCTAAAATTAAGCGCACATGGTGGGAATAGTTCGTTCGTTTCTGTCACGAGCGACCGGGAAGAATTCTGAATCCTCGACCTTTAGATTCGAGCTTTAACGCTTGACAAGGGGGCAACAGAGAACCCGAATTGTGAGCTCGACCATAAAAAGCTCCTTAAGTACCAAGCGTCCTGCATACTACTTGGATCAGCAATATGGCACATGAAGCGTTCGCTTACCGTGCAAGTTCCTCCATTGTAGCATGGATTGCTTGAACATTCATCTATTTCTACAAATCAAGAGACAATATCAGCATTAAATAATACTCAGGAGATACATCATAGATGATGAAATCATGGCTTAACTCTATGATCCATAAGAGTGAATAACATTTAATTTCTCCCTCTGAATCACACGTTAGGATCAGGAGAATAAAGGAAATCATCACTTGTTGAAAAAAATTCTCCTTATCAGCACCTTAAGAAATGTATAGAGAACAGTATGGAGAATATGCATACAGATGTTAGGGTGGAAAGGGTTAAGAGAGTTATCACTCAATCGAATCGGGAGTTTATTCCTTAAAGTATCACCTTTGCCAAATGTTGCTAGAAAGAACTTACTATCTAAAAACTACAGTCTCTAAGAAACTTAAGATTTAAGTAAAAAACTTAAAGAATGAAACACTGATGACATTGAACTAAAATTTCTTGGCAGTCCTTCAGTTTTGAGTTTCACGCAAGAAGTATCATTATGCCCGTTGATCGCTGTTTAGATCTATTGAACTCACCTGTGTCACAGTTACTTCCAGTGTAACCCTTCCTGCAAGTACAGCGGTAAAGGCTTGGCCCACTATTTGAACATGTTCCCCCGTTCTTGCAAGGTTGCTCACGCGCACATAATTCTAAATCTGAATGAAAGGAAGATACAGTAATGGGGTTTGAAACAAGATCGAAAACGGAAAAATGATAAAGAAGTTAAACCATATTCTCACTGAAGCAAACGCTCTTGACTTCACAGAGTGAAGGCGAAAAAGGCTGGAGAAAATAAAGCGGGCGTCAGGCGGGGAAAATATAGACAATAAAGCGCGGAAAACTACTTGCAACAGGAGACTAGCGTGGGAAAATGAGAAAACAGGTGCCTACGTGTAGAAAAATGAGAAAACAGGTGCCTACGTGTAGAAAAATTAGGAAATGAAGAGCACCATGCAACGCCTAAAATTAAATACAACGGTTGGTAATCGCAAGAAAACACGTGGCCTATAGTAAACAAAGGGAACTGGTAAGGCAACCTTGAACGTATGGTTGCCATTCATTCGATAACTGAGCTGTGATTGATTGGAGCTGTGTTGTATGATCACCGCTGATATTCTTAACAAACAGACACCAAGATGTACGACACAAAATTGACTAAGTAGACGCGACAGTTGATCGACAAAGAAAACAAAAACCAACCTACCAAGATCACAGGACTTTCCGCCCCAGCCTTTAATACAATTACATTCCCAAGGCTTATTACAGGTGCCGTGGAGGCATCCCGGGTACCTTTCACATTCTGTACAATTTTGTCCAAGCCAGCCGGACTGACAACTTAACAGAAACGAATAAAGTTAGAACACAAACGTTGACTATCAAATGGGAAAGTGACTCGATAAACTTCAAATGTGAGTTCCTGAGTGGAATCATAAACACGAAAGGAGAGTTATGCTCTAAGAAAGACCCCTTCCCTTTTTTTGTTTTCGCCTTCTCTGTATTTTAACTCTTTAACCCTTAAAGTGATAGACATCTAATTTCTCCCAGTGGTATTTTCCCCCGATTCAAACATTAAGGTCACAAGAATGAATGGATGATCGCTTGCTCAAGAGGCTCCTGATTGTTCACCAAATTCGTCTTGTAACTGCCATAAGCTGTGTCCTTTTTTTTTTCTCTTTCAACCTTTTGACCTTAAGAGTGACTACATCTAATTTCTCCTTACAATTTCACGACTAAATCAAACATTGAGGTCAAGAGAAATAAGGAAATGATCACCAACTAACGAAGCTCTTGATTGTTAGACAAATTCTCCCTGAAAAAATCTGAAAGGTAGTGTTTAAACAAAAACTAAAGAAATTGGTCGGCAGTGGAGATAACTAAAACCGATTGGGAATGACAAACGAAGAATATTTATTTAAATTTTTTTTTTTTTGTTATGAAGATACAGAGCCTAGACACCAATTCGCCGATTTCAAGTGCACCTTTACAAAAGCTAACTTTAATGGAAGTGAAATCTCACCTGCAATGGTTAGGTCGTGAGCATATAGCGTGAGTGAGGTCGCATCCTGGACAAACAGCTGAGAAGCAAACCACAGCGAAATTCTTATTAGAATGAGGTAAAATGAATGTTACTAGGAAGTCCTTTAGGCAAATCTTGAAATGTCTCGACAGCGTTAGATCTGAAGGAGAAGCTGTAAGGACGTATTTGGAAATGGGTGAGGTAAAAAGCAATATATTACGGAGAATTGAGGTGTAGTTTCTGCAAACTAAATATGGTTTAAGACAGAGACACAAAGCAACTGTATGGGAAAAACGATTAGTCGGTTTTAACTCATAGGAAGGCTTGATTCGCGTTTCACTCCCGGACTTTCGTTCGTTCGTATTCAAGGTCGGGATGGACCGACCATTTCCGACGACGAACACGATTACGATAGCCTGAGGTGAACCTAATACAAAACCACGAGCTATCTAACGCTCGTTGTCGATATCCTCGCGTGTAAGTCGCGGTTCGCTCTTGTCACGCGCTCCCGGTTCCAACGAGGAAAAAGAAAGACCCCTGGTGCTGAACGCTAAACAAATTTAAGTTGTTCAAAAGGCTTTGTTCAAGGATAATACTTCACATAGGGAGCTCTGTCCTGACAGATAACGGCTAACGGCTGGAGCGCCCCCTTACAGGGCCCAGCGTGACATGTCGTGAGCACGCACTAAAAGTAATGATTCGTCAATAAACAAAAAGATTGTCGTGCTCTCTTCATCACAAAGTGATCATCAAAGATGACCTTAAACAATACAAAGTCGGCACAAATCCACAAATATTGTTTATTTTACGGTCTGTTGCGAACAAATGTTTGGGTTGTTCGCGAGTTTACACTCCGCTGAACACCGTGAGAGCGCATATTAATAAGGGTTCTCAGGAGATTGGACACGTCTGGCAAAAAAAGGAAAAAAATTCCCACAGTTTGAAACTGCAAAACAATTGTCAAAACTTGAAAAAAATTTTCCACGCAGTTTTTGAAGGTGACTTACTTGCCTGGAAATTTCTACGTTAGAAATACATCATGTCTGAATTGCTGCTATCACATTGAGTTAAGCCCTTTATTGTTCGTCTGCAATCCACGTTTAAGAATGAAAGAAACTCGTGTATAGAGGTGCAACCATAAACAAACGATATGTTATCGGATTTACAGAACGAAAGCGAGCCAACGACTGCACGACATGAGAATTTCATTGTACACCTTGGACTGGGATGCTGTTACTTTTCTTTTTTATGTTCTATTAGCCATTAAGTAAACCGTGTGTCATAGTAATTAGACGAAACATGCAGAGCTTTTGACAGCTTCGGGCATAACTTTCTGGACACTTCAAACTGTAGAGTCATTGAAAAAACTGTGCATGACCTCTCCAAAGCCGAATAGAAGAAGTAAGAGATTGGAGACCACTGGATGACAATATTCCATAATATTAAGCGGAAATTTTCAGTCGAAGGGCCACATATGACAATTAACTTCTATTTCATTTGTTTCTTTAGCAAGGTGCCAATCTTCTTTAAACTAATCAAAAAAGGAAAGAAAAATCGACTTTCCGGATTAAGTCCTAATATGTGAGCGTTGAACTAAAAGCCATTGTGCAGTCAGTGTTTTGTCCTGAAGTGCCATTTGCTTCAAGTAGTTTCTAAGAAGGAATTTCGATCTTATGTTAGTCGAAGGTTCGCCTCATAACATGATATCAGCCCTCCGTTTTACGATGGTATACTGTCATTCAGAAGAAAACAAAAGCAATATCTTCTGTAAAACTTGACAACACAAGGTACCCATAAATCTTGCGTGCAAGATAAATAAATTCCACAGCTATTAGAGAGAGCCTAAAGGAAAATAGCTCTGGAAAGATAAGCTCCCATTAAGAACAGTTTTAACAAAATCGTAATACAAACATCGCCATCTGTTGGACCTCCTTGGTTTTGTTAAGGTCCTTAGTAACTGAATCTTCCTGAGATTCCAAACGACATAATAACCTGCATATTTTTACTTTTTGCGAAAAGCAAATTCTTTGTTTAGACTAACTAACTGAGAAGATCGAATCTAAATTAACGACGAAAAACTACCGTGCATTATCATCTGCCTATCTCATTCTGCGTGGGTTTCCTCTCGATAGAGATAACGCCTCTGCATAAACTACGACGTTTCTTTATAGCAAATTTTTGCGACAAAAAAAGGTCACTTCCTTGGCACGCTATTCCCTATCAACTCAAATTGGACTTGAATTGAAAACAGAAAGTGAAACCAGACAACTAAAGCGGTCAAAGAAAACAGAAAAAAGGCAACGCAAGATAGCAGAAGCAGCAGCATTTACCTGTATCACAGTAACTTCCAGACCATCCTGGGTTACAAACTTTACTTCCATCGCTGTCGCACGAGTAGTGGCCGAGATGATCATCGCGCGGAATACAGAGTGTTGTGCAGGAGTCACCGTAATAGTTCTGCTGGCATTTCACGCGGTACGAGAAAGTTATGTTTGCCACCACTCCCACGTGGCTCCTGTTGTGCCACTGTGGGCCAGGTAGCAGGGATTGCCTCGTGACCACACCTTGCTCGATTAAAATTGACGAGTTTGGACCTGAAGGAGAAGAGTGACTCAATGGTTTACATCAGGCACAAAAGTGTAACTTCACAGCTAATCAGGTGATACTGTGATTACTTCAGGGAAAACCGGTTAGCATCGTTGCATTAAAAACTAACAATTAAGACATCGAGGCGAATTAACGCGCATATTGCAACCAACGATTGGAAAGCGCGGGGAATTTCCTTGCGCATGACAAGGTGAAATAGTTGATTCTGGTTTGAAACCGGTTTGGTTAACTTGAGAAAAAAAAGTCAAGACATTGAAAAGGAAAAGCTCTTTAATCAAGAAATGGTTCGCTTCGAGGAAACTAAGAAACCAACATCGTGAGTGACAGCAACATGTACACGAAACAAGGAGAGCTTAATTCAATTATACCATAGGACGGACGTAAGATGAAAAGGGTGCCACCACGTTGATGAAAAGACGGATGAAGATGATGAGAAAACAAGATTTGGATCACCTAACGTTTTGTGTTTTCAATTAGGAGAGGAAATTCTTGACTGTAGTATTACGTAACCCTTTTGTTTTGACATATTTCTTGAGGAAAAGCAATCGCCGGCGGGGCCACAGGCACCAGACCGAATTGAACATCAAGGGGCAGTCTACAGACGGGATGTCGGAAAGATCATTTGTACTTGTCAAGCATGTTCTTTGGGGTTTGAGTAAACCCTAACAGAGTGCAAATGGCTATTTCGCAGCAATTTTCAAAACGTGAGAGAGCCTCTGGTCTAAATCCACTGGTGTAAATCCACTGATCTCGTTTTCGGTCCATTAACCCTTTAATTCCCAAGATCGGATTAGTAATTCTCCTTACTATCTGCCATACAGTTCTTGTGATGTTAGTTTGCAGAATTTGGTATTGGATCAACTTATAATCCCCTAACTGATATTTTTCTTTATTCTCATCACTTGTCTGCTTGATATTGTATTGATATTGTAAGGAGAAATTCTGTCTTGGTCACTCATGGGAGTTAAAAGGTTAATGTCGTTTACTATAAGTGAAAGACCACCGATTGAAAACTAACGATATCCAGATGAGGATCAAGGAAAGGTACCGTCTGCCCTCCATCGAATTAGCTAAATCAGATTCAATCTAAAGCATATTATCGCATTTGCAATGAGTAATTATAGCGACGAAGCAAGCGTGCAGGCAGAATACGGAACCCAAACATTCTAAAATCAAAGAGAAACCTCATAGTTGCTCTGACAATTTGCGAAGGAATGGGTGCGATGTTGATCCATCTTGCAGCTGAATAAACAAATTGATGCCAAGATCCCTGGGCCCCGACAGATGCTGCTGAACACGAACAGCTGGGAACAGTGTGCGTCTTTTTTTTTAACGAAGAGAAACATCAGGGTTCGCGGAAATCAAAATTGTTAGAATTTTCTTCATGACTGTGTTTCATGATATAATAAAAACAATTGCGTCTATTTGCACTTCCCTTCTTTAGAAACATCTGTACAATGTAAATACCTTCAACGTCATCGACAGTTGGGAAAACTCTAAATGTCAAACTATTCGACAAAGGCAATTTTCTAACATTCGTGAAACCTATCCAAGGAAGGAAATCGTTACAAAGCATAAACTTCGAGCATCACAACAAGAACTGATTTCGTGTGATCACGAGAATTTGAGTTCTCGCGGCGCCAAAGAAGGAGAGAAATTTAGCGACTCGGAATTGACTAAATCCTGTACAAGGCAATAATACCATGAGCATAAGCGCCATTTGAGGCTATTGAATTTAACTTAATTGTCTCGTTTTGTCAAAAGAAAAATAAAATTAGAGCTGAGTTCTTGCCAGTCACAAAGAAAGCTTCCATTCCTTAAATTTGTCTCTTCTCCAGTCTCAGGCTGGAGAGATCGTTACTTTCGCAACATCGAAACGCACTGAGGAAATAACAAGACAATAAAAGCTGAAAAGCTTAAAAATGAAGTTAAGATTCCTCTAAAAGCAAAAATGACCGCGGTGATTAGATAAAGGTTCCTAATTAGGTTTGCTGAAAAAAGGATGCAGTTTCTTTAGTGGAAATTTAATAAAGTAAAATGAACCAAAATAGGATTTTCAAATGTGTGGGCGGAACATTTTGCACAGACAGAAAAAACAGATTTTCATTGTACAATGGAAGTATCATCACGCGAAGAATGAATGTTACTCTATTTTTTAAACTTCAGTCAACGCGTTAACGGAGAAAAGGAGACGAAAAAATGATGAATAGACTCTTTTGAGTTTTGTCCAAACTAAAGCCTAATATTTGGTTGCAAGATAAGATAACCGAGGTAATAATGAAGATTAATCTTATCGATGCAGTGTTACCGTTAGTCACTTCACACCTCAAAACAACAGCACTTTAAAGCGATGATGCTTAGTTAGTAGCAACGGAAGGTTAACCATGGTTCCTTGTCTAAACCAAGGTTCTCTTTTTTTATTCAGGATCATTTGGTTTTTATCACGACCTGACATGATGTGATCATACGAGTTTACAGAGTTAAGACGCCTTTGATACAAAGCAGATAATCGTGAGAGAGTCAAGTAAGCTCATTACAGCTTAGGACAGATGATATCGAGGAATGTTTTTCACGTCAGGACAAGGGGCGTTTTGGGCGAAGACCATTAAGGAGGGATCAAGAACAATCTTGGGGGTAAAATTTCGCGTGTTTTGCGTGCGAGCAAAGTCAACACGGGCTAAATTAGAAAAACAAATAATCGCTGTGGGGATTTCCTAAATGTAAATGTTATTTTATCCTAAAGACGCATGATGTCAAGCACATCTTCACCAGAGTCAGCTTGGCCGAGAGGAGATTCTTTGCAAAAGGGAAGCCATTTTATCGTACCAATTTGCAATTCGGAGAGTAGCTTGTGAACACATTTTTTAGGTACTAATTCTAAGACCCACATTTTAATGTATTTATCTCTACATCTTCTACAATGAATTGCATTCCAGCAATGAACAAGGCACACTTATTTGACGCGCGGAATGACTGCGTAGGAGAAGTTAGCACTCCAAAATGATCACGCTGGTCATAAAATCTGGATCCTAGAGATAACCTCTCGCGTGCCGCAATGACCCTTTATTGTGGGACGCAAATATATTTTAATCCTTGTCATCATCAAAACGCCGTTTTCATACAGGTTATCGCACACTCCATCAGCTCTACAAGAAGCGCTCATCATGAGTCGCACCGGGCGACTTGCGTGCATACCATAACTACTTAATACTGAAATTCGAAAATTCAGCGAAGGCGTCGACAAGCGCGCTAAACCTCGCGGGATGACCATCGAGATAGAAGAGACAAAGGTAGTATCCTTACCTTGACGGTGTCTTGCTTCCACGAGTAAAGAGAATGACCCCTGTTGACGGAAAAAGTAAAACTGATGAGTTTTACATTCAAAAAAAGTGTCTGATGAATTCCTAACCATACTGCGCGCGTGGACTTTAGGAAAAAAGACATCAAGCGCGTGACGTGCACGCGTGACATCCCGCAGGGATTGATAGCAGTTAAGACGATCAAATCCTGTCGTTTTTGATAACAAGCTTTAAAAGTCGGTTGTGTAAGAAGCTTTTAAAGGCTTAACAGTAGAGTTATGGCACGTGCCCGCGCAATTAGCAATGAAACAACTGCCATCACAATGCTGCTGGCAGCTTAAAGTATCATCACACAAGTTTCAGTTACTGCTAAAGATTATTTATGATAGCACAGTCAGCCGAAAGGCAGTTCTATTCAAGAACATTGTGAACATCCACACTCTACAGGCAATATTATGTGATCTGATAGTCATTTTTCAAAGCCTTTTAAGATTTTTCTTCAAATAAAAAACTATCTATCCAAATCAGACCACGAAATAACTCAACATTTACCTATATCGGAAAAATAAAAATGGCCCTAATAATATTGGTATGAGCGACGGCTTCACACAAGCCGTTGCGTAGTAACAAACTTAACGTTATTTTTCTCCCGAAAGATATAACTCGTGCGAAAAAGCAGATGAGAGTACATCAAGGATATCGTTGCAGTAGAACCTGATCCTATTTTTTGCAAACTAGTTCGACCTATTGATACTCGAGAGCGCCATGCAACAAGTTCATTCGCATCTTATTTATTGTCCATATCAGTTCCGTTTCTTTGTCTATAAAACAAGTTTGGCATCCTTCCGTTTTTATTGGCAAATCGGAATTGCAAATTATTGTTAAGAACTGTAATCTAATTTGTTTCACAGTAACGGAGAGAAGCCAAATCAGACACTACCGGTGGTCCTTCCTAGACGCTGGTCGCAATCAGTGTTTTTCATCGCCTCTTCTCGTTCATTGTCGCAGTCCCGGCTCTATTGTGATAATAACCCTTATGCAGCCCTACAATAACACGCACACAACTCGGTTTGTGAGTGCGCAAGATTTTCACTTTTTCACTTTCTAGCCTTAACAATCAAAGAGACGCATTGAATCGCTCATAGAACAAAAGAAAAAACAATTCACCTGAGGCTAGTTTAATATTGTTTAAAATAGCGTGAGCCTCTGAAACTGAAATTTCCCACACTTCAGATCGAAACCCTTCAATTGTTTTGTTTTTTTTTTAAGCGGAAATTGGACTAAATATATTGTGTTGCACTAAATGGTGGGAACGGGCAAAGGACAAAAAGCTCGCTGCTCTGACTCTGATAAACATCTCATTAACTCGATGCTGTAATCTCGATCCGGATGGGTGTTGGAAAGTAAAACAGTATGAAGAAATGATATTTTTACCCGAACATCATTAAAACGCGTGTTAAGTGATATGTACTTACAGGCCATGACTGCAGTGTATTAGGCCAAGGTATCTGCAACAGACTGTTCGACGGGATTACGAAGGAGCCACTTCCCAAAACATCCGAAGTTTCCTGCCCAAACGGACAAGAGGACCCTGTGTGAGTTAGGGGCCGTAGACACACTCTGAAGAAGGTGCTGCAAGGAGAAGAACAGCTCCCTCCCGTCTCTACACCGCTACAACAGGTCTTCTGCCCGTTTCTGTTTCCGGGATTTGTGTAGTCCAAGAAACGGACTTCGAACATTCCCGTGGCCCGAGTCTGTAGAAATACGAAGCTGTGTGTAAGAATATGTGAGGAATAAAGCTTGCAGGCGCACCAGCCACTGTCCTATTTTTCCCGACTTAACTGGTGCGGGTACGCAAACATTTTCGCCAGATGAGACCTTCCAGAAGATATGATCGAGGTCAAGTACGTTTAAGTCATTAAGCCAACATGAAAGACACTAAAAATTTACAGTAAAAATGTGTGGATTTCTTTTGGGTTTCCTTGTCGTATCATTTGTACCGTTAATTTGAATTGCAAATCATAATCTGTTGAAAAAAATAACATCGTTCAGAATTTTTACGATCGTAAATCGGATCTACAAGCGCCTGGCGGCGCATAAGGTTTCGATCTGTTAGTGACTCATCGCCAAGTCAAGATGGCAATTAAACAAACGTTTCGGGCTAGTTTCATCATGCAAAGAAATTTACCGTCTTTTTGCTTCGTTGGAAATAAGTGTTGATTGAAATATGCGAGCCACCTTATTACAGAACAAAAACATCCAAAAAAGAAAACAAAAACAGAAAGCTTTTACACTAAAAGGAATTTTTCCAAACCTCAAAAGTAAGTCAATAATGAGAGGTGAGCTTGTCATATTAAACGTGTGTATTGACAACGCGCAGAACACTTTTTGGGATCACTTTCGATCCTGCGTAGAATTTCTGATGAAACCAAAGTTATTTTCGCGATTCTCTTTATTTGTTCGTCTGCCTGGGTGACGTCAGGTTTTATTTCAATAAATTCTTAACCTCGAAAAACAGGAAATTCCAAATTCAAACGACATATCCGCCAAATGGAAGCACTGCGTGTACGCCACGCGCGCTCGACCGCCGACAGTGCGTGATCCGGTATTTCAGTGTACTATTGAAGAGAAATCACTGCGTGAAGTTTATTACGAGTATCTCAAGGGTTGCTTTACATTCAATTCATGGCAGAACGCAAAGGAAATTCTACTCTGTGTTTTTCCAGCTTGAGACAGATAAAAATCTTGCTTGAGATAAAAGATTCGAAAAATGACTGAATTGCTTAATAAGCGAGAATGATAACACGTAGATCTATTGGTTTTCTAATGAGCTCATCTATTTATTCAAACAATCCGAGATTGACCGCGAAATAGTGAAAATCGTCATTAAAAATTATTTCTCTATCCCAACAAAACCGCTATTATTGTGAACTCGAACAGAACGAGGGCAACAATTAAACCAAATACTTAGCGACGTCTTGGGCGCTTGAGAGCGCTCACAATATATTTTCAGTGTACTTACTTTAGGCAGTACGCTAGCCAACAGTAAAATCACAAGAACTCCGAGGTTTGGGCGCTGGATTCCTTTCACAAATGCGGCCAGTGAATGCCGAGTGAAGTCTCTCATATGCATGAGTTTCGTGCCCAACTCATTAAAGTGTAATCAGGACAGAGTGTGCTAAAACCCACTCGAACGGTTGGTGTGATCCTCCTGCTGCGGTTTTCTCACGGCTCAGCCTGAAAGAACATGGAGATAAAATTAATCGCGATTAATTTCTTGTTACGTAAATACGAGTTTCCCTAACAGGACAATTGTCAATTGTTATCATTTATGTACTAAAACGAAAGGAAATCCTTTACATGATCGCAAATTCCATCCAATCGAGCCTGGAACGCTCGTTGCGGGCCGGTCGACGAGCTAGGTAGGTAACGCAACCGTACTTTCACGGTTGCCTGATTCCAAAGGTATACAAAGTGTTGTCAGAAACAATCCCTGGGGCTTAGCGTATTGACTTCCAAAGTGGTAACTAATTCTTCTGGGACTTCCTTCGAGGTGCTTTCAATGCACTGAGACGTAGTTTGTAACTCAAGACAAAGGTTTCATTAAATAAATCAAAAGCTGATGATTATTACGTAGAAATTCAACCCGTGGCTTCACAGATGGTCCGCGCGAACTCTGTTATGATCACAAGTCAGACATGTAGGGGCTTGTCGAGGCAGTAAAGCATGCCACGCAAAAACAGAAACTATATCGTAACTAAAACCAATTTTCGACTCGGTGAAAACGAAATCCATTGAAATCTGACCATGGTAGTCGACATCTCGCTGTTATGTGTTGTTAAAACTTTCGATTATCGCACCAACCCGGTAATACTATCGCTGATTTTTCGTTATTTCTTAACTTAACCTGCACAGGAAACACGCTGACAATGGCTTGTGACAAAAGCTTCTTTCTTAACAGAGTCCACTCGGAAATACGTAACCTTTGAATGCCAAAAAGCGATCGAATTAAATCAACTGTCGTTTCTAAAGGACACTGTTTCTTCCTAGATGAACGTGCAAATGTGAACCGATAATTTTGTGTATCGGTATTTAATGTAACGTAAAATTTCTAAGAGCGCAAGATCCTCTTTAACTACTCACCGAATACCACAGTGGATAAAATAGCACAGTTCGTGCACAGTTAGAAACAAATTCACAGAGCCAAAACAGAATGAAGAGACGAAGTCCATGTGTCGTTCATTGAACTAAGTGCTTCAGTCATTGATTTGAGATAAGATGATCCCCGGGACAACTCTAACCTGTGATGCAACCGTATGATAATGGACTGATCTATTCGTCGCAATGATAGAATAATATATGGGTGGGGGAGTCCCCGTGAACAATGAAATACTGATCATCAATTTCTAGACGCTACTGCTGTGCGAATATTTTGCTGATGAGGCAACTGATGCGCGAAGAAGGAAATTTTTTTTTCTCACACACCCGATTTGTTTACGTCGTTTTGATAACAACTGGCAAGAGATACTGGTAGATTCCGCTTTAGCTACTTAGCAGTCAAGGTGGCTTTTACAGTGGATAATCCGGTTTTTTAGTATCGTTTTGTAAAAAGAGTTTTTTCGCTTAATGACAGGATTACAGATGTCATGTGAAATTCATCCGAAGTTTAAGCTGACTGACCTCTCACTGCAAGCTGACTTTCGCGCACAAGTAAACTCGTGGATTTAATGCTGAAAAAATGTCGGCGGTTTGTGCGTCAGTCTTTCTCGAGCCGTAATATACATCGAAATCGACCAGAGGCTGTTCAGAGTTCTAAGCTAATCTTTTGATCGCCAAATCTGCGACCACAATTTAAAATAAAGGATTTCAAAAACGGCGCCGATTCGATAGAGTTGGGTTTCTACCAACCTTATATGCTTACGTCTGCCTGTGCGAACGAAGACGGGGCGAAACGCAATGAAGCGAAGCTATGCATATGTCAGCGAATAACTTTTCAATTATCTATATGGCTATTCTGGGAACATTGTGACACATCGACAAGCCTGTGACCCTAAGTGGTATTCTGCATCAGCTCTTTTTCCCATGCCTTCATTCAAGCGGATCGTATGCTTTTTCGTATTTTCCGTCATGATGTAACTGTAACTAGTTCTGCCACAAACATTGATCGAGGGTTTAGCGTTTTCTCGACGCAGTTGCGACCACCCGCACATCACCAACGTGAGAAAAATTTCTAAAAAAACGCTTGTGCACTTGCTGAAAATTTGCCGACTAACAGCGCAAGCTACGCACATAAGCAGTGTATTTAAAATCGCTGGTAAACCGAGATAAGCAGCTTCAATCGATTGGCTGTTTTGTTATGAGAACAATACAAACAACCATGACCTTGCGACTCGGGTTTTCCCGTACTCCTCATAGTTTCCGGCTCTTTAAAGAAGACCGCAAAACGAGCCTCTAACTCGCACAGATGAGACTCCAAAACAAATATTTTTGCAATCCAAATAATCCAGTGGTAAGCAAGCAATTAGGGATACTGAGTAATTAAAACAAACACAACATCAAAGTAGTGAGATTCCGGCCGCGTCGAGTTTTCATTTGTCAGAGATTCCAGAGGCGAACGATTTTAAAAAAAGACCATGTCGCTTCAGACCACCCAGTGATGTTACACGCGCCTATAAATTGGCGTTTGTGACAAGCCCGGGGTGTTAAGAGATACACCCTAATACCGATTTCCCGGAGGGGGAAACAGTATGTTATCTGAGCAACAAGCTTCTTGCATGCCTTTGGTCGAAAAGAAAAGCTGCGGTAAGTTGGGCCTGTTAGGCCAATCTTTGCTACTCGAACTGAATGCAAAGCTTATAAAAATGGCATACTTTACCTTGGAAAGCAAACAATGCCAAAATAGATCAAATTTCAATCCCAACATTCTAAATTTTCAATAGATATTTCTGGAATAAATTATGTTCTGGCGTTGAGGTTTGTCAAAACGGTAATCATCAAATAATCGATGGATGAATTTAAGCTCTTTTGTTTATTTGTTTTTGTCGAAAAAAAATTAATTTGACATGGATATGTTCCTTTCGTTTGTTTCCGTTCGCGAATGCTTAAGTCATACGGCGATTTGACAAAAATCTGCCCTAAGAAAAGGATACAGTGAACACGCAATGCCCATTTAAAAAACTTTTGCTAACATTCCAAGGTTAAATTATACGACAAAAAAGTACTTACGTCAATGAAAAAACTGTCCTTACATCTCGGAAGGAAATGAAATCAATGTTCAGTGAAGACTTTGACCACGATTCAAAGTCGACGATATGTCAATGAAATCCAATTAACCCACCCCCCTTGAAACTACATGATCAAAACGGACTATCCCCCGCGGAATTGTGTGTCAGAAATACCTGCAAGTGTTTATAAAACAGTTGACCGAACTTTGTAATGAAAGGTCTATCAATGCAATAATCTTAAGTATACTCAGATTTTTACCAAAAGGGCGCAATTAGAATGGCGCGCGCTTTCCAAGAGTAAAGTGTATTTACAAACGGAGATAAGGTATTTTGATAGCCCCTGTAGGAATCTAGCTGTTGACGCCCCTTAAATGCCTCATAAATCTGCTTGAGTCGGTGGAGCCCCTTTTTACTGGATAATCTAAATGGACTTTGTCAAGGTCAGCGCAAAATATAAGTGCCGCATAATTTGTTAACTGCTTTAACTTTTTTCAAGTGAAATGAACAGTTTTACAAGGCGATGATATCATCACGTACCTTAAAAGAAGTGTCTGCCCAGTAACGCATATCACTCGCGTGCAAGAACTCGCTTGTCCGCCAATTACCAACCGTACATCAAATTAGCTCGCTTTCAACTCACTTAGACCGGAAAAAAGCTCAATACGGCAAAGCGTTAGAACAATCAAACGTAAATTTGATTGTCAAAATGTTTGGCTCTTGTCCACACCACGTGCTAACTCTCTAAGAATGAACGACCGTACACACTCCTTGCAGAGGTAGTATACTCTTGGTTCACAGTGCAAATTGGGTAAACACTGACGGAAACCTCTAGAAAAACCAACTCGCCCCAGATCGCGCACAACTTGTTTCTCATAATCTATGACATTAGATTTCCTTTCGCGTCCAGTTATGGCTTTCTATTACAGAGATTAGCTTGAGGTTCTGATCGTTATCTCAACCAGTTATCAGCGTAAAAAATTCTTGGCTTGAATTAATGGTCATTAATTTTGACAAAAGGCAGACTTTCCGGTTCTTACGCGCCAGTCTACAATTTATCTGCTATATTCCTGAGACACACTGTTAACAAAGCTAACACGGTGGTCTGCTTTTACCGACGAAAAATGAAGCAAAGTAGAATAAGGAATTACTTTTAGGGTAATGACTTACTTTAAACATCTGTTAGGCCATCAATCAGCAGTTTTTTTTTCGAGAAGGGCGAGACGAGATTGGACACTGATTCACCACCAAGATGTTGTATGATAAAAGAGTGCCGAGGTTTTTGTTCTTTAGTAATCTCACGTGAGAAGCTCACACCCTTGAAACGTGAGGTGAGATGTGATCGAGTTTTAGAGAGGGCGTCAAGGAGCGAGAAAGTTGCCACTAAATGATACTTCAAACTACATGAAATGTTTTCAAAATGAACAATACAGGAAGCGTATCTTTATACAAGAATTGCTGCCAATTTGGAGCTTGTTTTCATTTTAGCTATGCCGACTGCGGAAACATCCCTTTCCTCTGAAGGAGTTCCAGCTAGCACTGTGGTTTTCACGCCTAACCACTGCTATTTAACGGCGAGCCTACGTTTATTAGCAGCACACGGGTAGTCTTGTTTACCATAAACAAAAATGCGAACTTTTCAATCATTCTGACAAGAAAAGAAAGACAACTCCATGAAAACACGAAATTCTCCCGATGAGGATAAAATGAAACTGATGTTAGGTGAAGTGAATTCGCGACATCGTTCATGGGTTCGGTTATCAAGCAGATGTTTTCGATTTTCCCAGTTTGTTCTGCATCTTGTCAAGTTGATAATGCTAATGAGCAAATTACCAAAGTCCTCGTTTGACGATAGCAACATGTTTTCATTTGTGGATACTATTATGGCTGCGATCGAATCCGATACGAAGACAAAACAATTGTCGAGAACTTTCATGGGACATATGCCTGCCTTATTTTAGTTCATTACTTTCAAAAATGGACAGCTTTTGACGATGTTAATTAACTTTTTCATATGGATGACCTGAGAGTTCATCAGTGTATCTCATTAGATCTTGATCAATGCTAAGGAAATTTTTCATACCCGCACAGTGGCCTGTTACAGTAGACCACATGCTCGGCTAAAAAAAAACAAAATAAAAAACAAAATATGGAGTCATTTGTAGACCTCGTGGTCAGCTGAACACCTCGTGACTTGATAACGTTTCTGGTATAATCAACAAAAAATATTTATATCATGTTAACTTTGAACTGAATCTCAACAGTCTCAGGTGGTGTAAAATTATTCCAACTTTGATGTTTACAAACTAACCGCGAGTCTTAAACGTTCTGTTGTGAAAACAAAGAATAATAACATTTGTGTTCAGCGACAACAGAAAGGCGTTGTTTTCTGTAAGGAAACCACTGACGTTTCTCCACTGAATAAGTGAACGATGAAGTCTAGTAAGATGTACAATTCACGTTGGTCTAAATGCCACTGAACACTGAATGATGGAGAGAGAAGGTCTATCGAAAATTTGCTATGATTTTCACCTCGACACGCTCTCGAGCAAGGCGCAGATAGCTACAACTAATTGGTCTGTTATCAATTAATGAAATTACGGTTACTCACTGATTTCGCAGTCCTCAATACCCCTTCTCTAAGTTTCCATCAAAACTTCGTCATTGCACAGCAATAATACAAACGTTGAAATATTGAAACCGACTCCTAGATCACGCTTGTCGTCCGCTGACTAGAAAAGTGTCTGCGTCTCTCACCAACTCCCGCCACACACTGTGCAGCAGTGGTGAGGCCGCGTCGAACTTTCCCGCCATGTATTCAACGCGACCGCACATGTACACCACGAACACCTTTGCCTTAGTGTTTTCAGTAGTCTTTCTCAATCTCTCTCGCGTAGTTTTGCACTCATTTTCACACAGCTTAATGAAAGCCAAGGAATGACTGAACTCGTTGGCTGTCTGTTTGTGGTAATTACATTAGTTTTTATCGCTTTTTCCGGAAGCTAACTTGAAAAGGATTACCTTAAAAACGTTTTAGGCACGTCCTTCCTTCCTTTGTAAATTGACGTTAAGTGACATTAATTGCAACATTAAAATGCCACGAATATAAGCTTAAAATGCTGAAAATTTCGAAAAACTAACACGAAAGCTAACTCCAAGGAAATTTTAGTGCTTAAGCAGGCATGTAACTAGGTAGAAAACTGGAATAATTAGCAAATGCAATTGAT